TCTGCGAAGAGAAAGTCACGGACGGTGTCTTCCTGAACCTCAGTCTTGGCCTGCAGTCTATGCAAGTTAAACAGTTTTCCATCGGTCCGGTATCTGATACCGACTCCGATATCACCATCATGGAAGGCAGCATCGAAGAGAACATCATGCTGAACAAAGTTGGGACGAGCACACAGCCTTGTTTGACGCCGTTTTTACAGGGAATGGCGCCAAATAGTCTCCATTGTCCTGCACGCAGGCCTGCATTCCATTATGGAATTCCTTGACCAGGGAGATGAACTTCTCAGGGCAGCCGAACTTGGACACGATCTTCCAAAGCCCTTCTCTGCAGACAGTTTCAAAGGCTTTGGTCAGATCCACGAAGGTGGTGTAGAGGCTGACGTTCTGCTACCGACACACTTCTCCTGCAGTTGGCATGCAGCAAAAATCATGTCCATGGTGCTGTGGCCCTGCCTGATCCTGCACTGGCTTTCCAGTAACAGACCTTGCTCCAAGTGTTGAATCAGACAGTTCAGTAGGACCCTAGCCAGTATCTTCCCGGCAATAGAGAGCAGTGAGATGCCACGGTGGTTGTCGCATGCTTGCCGGTTCCCCTTCCGTTTGTAGAGGTGGATGAGGCGTTTTTGAATTCCTAGGGAAGTTTCTCTTGGGACCACATGGACTGGAACAACTCAGTGAGTCTCCTGATCAGTTGTGGACCACCAGAGCCATAGATTTCCACTGGAAATGAGTCAGCACCTGGAGCTTTGCCACTGGATAGGCAGTTGACTGCTTTCTTCACCTTGTCTTCGGTAGGGACATCGGCAAGAGCGTGCTTGGTAGGAACCTGTGGTAGCCTCTCAATTGCTTCGTTGTTGATGGAAGATGGGTAGTTGAGAACACTGTCAAAGTGCTCTGCCCAGCGCTCAATGATCTCTCTGTCAGTGATCAGTGTGTCCCCGTCAGCACTAAGGAGAGGGGACAATCCTGACGAAGTTGGGCCATAGACACTTGAGTGCACTGTAAAAGTTCTTCATGTCGTTGTATTTGGCATAGGACTGGATCTCATCTGCCTTCTGACTCAGCTATGTGTCCTGCATTTGGCGTAGCTCAAGCTGTACAGTTCTTTTGTTGCTGCTGAAGGCAGCCTTCTTGGAAGCAGAGGTAGGGTCGTTAAGAAGGGCTCTGTGCAGACGATGTTTTTCCTCCAGCAGTGTTTGGATGTGATCGTTGTTGTTATCAGACCAGTCTTGGTGTTTGCGAGTGGTGGGGCCCACCACCTCTGAGGCTGCAGCATAGATGGTGTCTCGAAAGACAGCCCACTCTGACTCGATGTCCCCAGTACAAGAAGTTTGGGGGTCCAGTCTGCTCTCAGTTTCTTCAGCCAGAGACTGTTTGATGTGATCGCTTTGGAACCTTTTTCCCCTGTGGTCGTCTGGGAGGATGGATTCTGATGTTGAGTTTGGAGATCAGCAACCGGTGGTCAGTCCAACACTCTGCTCCACACATGGCTTTGATATCTCAGACATCTTGCCTGTCCCTCTGCCTAACGATGACGTAGTCCAGCAGATACTAGTGCTTTGAGCGAGGGTGCATCCACGACGTCTTGTTCCGGTGAGGCAGGCCGAAGACGGAGTTGGTGATGAGAAGCTCATGTGTAGAACAGGTTTCTAGCAGCAGAAGGCCATTGCTGTTGCATTTGCCTATGCCATTTCTCCCCAATATTCCCTTCCATGATGCGTAGTCTGTGCCTACCCTGGCATTGAAATCACCCAATAGAATGAGTTTGTCTGCTCTGGGCACAGTAGAGATGGTAGCATTCAGGTCTTCGTAGAATGCCTCCTTGACCTCATCAGGGTTGGTCATTGTGGGGGCATAGGCGCTGACCAGCGTGGCATGCCACTTTCCCCGTAGGGGCAGTCGAACTGTCATCAGGCGGTCGTTGACACCCTTGGGGGTGTGAAGCCAGCTTGTTCACCAGGTTGGTCTTTATGGCAAACCCAACACCTGTCTCACGACGCTCATCCTGTCTGCGTCCAATCCAGAAGAACGTGCATCCAGCACAAACTTCTGTCAGGTGACCTTCCTCGGCTAGCCGGGACTCACTGAGGGCAGCAATCTGCACTTTGTATCTAGCCAGCTCTCTGGCAATAAGGGCAGTCCTCCTCTCTGGTCTGTCGGCTTAAGCACGGTCCATCAGTGTACGCACATTCCATGTGTCAATGGTGAGCGGGCGTCACCTTAGTAGATTTCTTTTCTTTCTTCTTACTGCTGTAGTGGGATCCCCGCCAGCCGCGGCATGCTGGCCAGGGTGGAGATGAAGCAGGCAATGTTCAGGGCATCTTTTCTAGCCCCTTCCCCAGGCTATGGGGGTGAGCAGTGCACTCCTGAACAGGGCTGTTCAGTCGCTCAGGTGGCTGCCGAATTCCCACGCTGCTTCATCGTTGGAAAGCGACCATATGGCCTGAGCTGCCTGCATGTAGGTTTTTGATATGGCTGCCAGTGCATCCACACCTGCCAT